AAGGAGTAATTTACACAATTTCTCTTTGTATTCAATCCACCAAGGCTGAAAGCAATTGCTGATAAGCTAGTTTTTCCTAAAGTTTGTAGAATTCATAGTGAAAGCTGAGAATATTGCCATATTATATACATTTTTGCAAGTAAATTCAGGACTAACTTGAAGGGAAGATAGGGGTCAGCTTTTGAGAATCATATGCCGTGCATAATGTCTCTCGCCCCAGTGCGGCCTTGCCAAGCATCAAGAGTTAAGCGCTTCCCACAGTCAGGAAGACCACAACTATGAATTCAAGGCAGAGGGGTCAGCTCAGAAGGTTATGATGACTGGTTTTTTAGGATGCCAAAAGGATCCCATACTCTCTGGGAAGGATTGCTGTTATTGTTGTTATTGTTAAGTGTGGTCTAGTGGGTTCCAACTCATAGTGACCTAGGGTGTCCTAGGTGGTTGGTTTAAACCAACAACTTGTGGTTAAGAAGTCCATTGCTGATCCTACAGCGCCACACCTATATTTGGCTTTCTCAAGTTGGTCCTAAGTTGGGGCAAAAAGTAAGGAGGATGGCAGCTGACCAAGTCCTGACCATCTGGGGTTGGCTGAAGAGCTGTGGTTGCTTTCCAGGTCTGGCTGCCACAGGTGGTGGCACCCATAGTCCCACTGTTGGCCCTTTGTATATGCAGTTTCTCCATTTCTTCATCTATGAAATGAGGGTGACAAAAGCCCAAACTCACAGGGTTGTAGGGAGAACTATAAGACATGACATAAAAAGCCACGTGGCATCAAGACGGGAATTTATCCACGTAGTCAACAAAAACTGGTTGTCCAGCATCTCTATGGGTTGAGGGGTTAAAGAGATGGAAACACCACTTTAAGAAGTATACAGACCTGGATGGAGGATGTGTAAAGAAACAATTGCTTCACATTTTAGTATTTTTGTTTAATAATTGTGTCTATGATTTTTCAGCAATACTTTTCTACCTACCCTCATACATTCCTTATATATTTAAAACATACTTAAATTAACACCCCACCATCGATCTAGTAGTGAATTTCAGACTCATGAAGACTGTATGTAGGATTCCCGAGACAATACATTTTTATGGGAAGCAGACAACCTCATCTTTCTTCTGTGGAGTGCCTGGTGGGTTTGAACTACCAACCTGTGGTTAGCAGCCCAAGACCAAACCCACAGCACCAGGGCCCCTTTTAAGTAAAATACTAATTCATTCATGATACTGCAACCATTAATATATTGATGAGTATTGTTTCATTTTTTCTAACATTTAAAAGGAACCCTGGTAGTAAAGTGGATGGTCTGAGACAAAGAGGAAGACCCCCAATGAGATGGATTGGAACAGTGGCAGCAGTAATGGGCTGAAACGTAGCACAGATTATGAAGTTGGTGCAGGACGGGGCAGTGTTTCATTCTGTTGTGTATAAGGTCGCTAAGAGTCGGGGCTAACTTAAGGGCACCTAACAACATTTTAAAAATTAAAAATATATGTATATATATATATATATTTTTTTTTAAAAAAGGTGTGTGACAAGGTTGTATTCTTTCACCATACTTATTTAACCTGTATAAGGAGCTCTGGTAGCGTAGTGGTTACGACTCGGGCTGCGAACCTTTCGCAAGGTCAGCAGTTCGAAACTACCAACTGCTCAGCGGGAGAAAGATGAGGTATTCTGCTCCCGTAAAGATTAACAGCCTCGGAAACCCTGTGCAGGGTCACTATGAGTCGGAACCGACTCCATGGCACATAACAACAACAACAACAGTCAATCTGTATGCTGAGCAAATAATCTGAGAATCTGGGTTATATGAAGAAAAACGTGTTATCAGGATGGGAGGAAGATTCATTAACCTGCGATATGCAGATGATACAACCTTTTTTGCTGAAAGTGAAGAGAACTTAAAACATTTACTGATGAAGATCAGAGAGCACAGCCTTTGGTATGGACTACATCTCAACGTAAAGAAAACAAAAATTCTCACCACTGGACCAATAAACAACATTCTTATCAAAGAAGAAAAGATTGAAGTTGTCAAGGACTTCATTCTTCTTGGATCAACTATCAACACTCACAGAAGCAGCAGTCAAGAAATCAAACGACGTATTGCATTAGGCAAATCTGTTGCACAAGACCTTTTTAAAGTGTTGAAGAGCAAAGATGTCAGCTTGAGGACTAAGGTGCGCCTGACCCAAACCATGGTATTTTCAATAACCTCATATGCATGTGAAAGCTGGACAGTGAATAAGGAAGATGGTAGAAGAATTGATGCTTTTGAGGTATGGTGTTGGAGGAAAATATTGAAAGTGCCAATAGATCCGTTATTAGAAGAAGTGCAGCCAGAGTGCTCCTTGGAGGCCAAGATGGCCAAATTTTATCTCTCAAACTTCGGACATATTTTCAGGAATAGTCACTGGAGAAGGATATCATGAGAAAGATGAGGCTTTCTGCTCCTGTAAAGATTTACAGCCTCGGAAACCCTGTACAGGGCCACTATGGGTCGAAACCAACTCAACAGCACTTAACAACAAGGTGGAGGGTCAGAGAAAAAGAGAAAGACCCCCAATGAGATGGATTGGCCAAGTGGCAGCATCGATGGACTAAGCATGGCAACAGTAATAAGGTTGGCCCAGGATCTGCAGTGCTTCGTTCTGCTGTGCATAAGGTCGCTATGGGTCGGTACTGACTCGATGGCACCTAACAACAACAACAGGTGGCACAGTGAGTTAAGCACTTGGCTGTTAACTCAAAGGTCGGTGGTTCAAACCCACCAGCCGTCCTGCTCTGTGGTAGAAAAATGAAGCAATGTGGTAGAAAAAAAGAGTAATCTGCTTCTGCAAGCCTCAGAACCGACTGGATGGCAGTAGGTTCACACTTTTTAAAAACGGGCCCATACTTTACAACTGTTTTGTAACTTTGTCTTTAAAAAACCAACTATACAAAAACTATATCGTGAATAAGTGAAAAAATAAACTTTTAAGGATTAGGGAATGCTTTAGTTAGTCAAAGGACACCATCTGTGGTGTGGTGTAAAAAGAAAACCTTGGGGAAGAGGAAATCTTTGGTGGGCAATATTGAGCACTTACCAACCAAGAGACTCCTCCATTTCACCTTGACAATGTGACCGTAACAAGTACAAACGTGTGGGGAACATTTAGGTGACTGTGAGCACGAGCTCCCGGCATGGTGCCCATCTCCCCTGGGCAGGGCCCACTGGGCCCAGCCCTGTCGGGCACCGAGGGCGAGAGGGCAGCTCGCGGTGCGCACAGCCGGGGTTCAAGCCCGCTGTCCCCGCCTCCTGAGCTGGCGCCACTCTTGGGAGGTGAGTGAGATAAAAGTCGGGCAAGGTTCTACAACTTCAAATCAGGGAGGTGCGACTCCGACACCCGCGCCTTTGCCTAGTCTCCGGGCGTGTTTGCCCAAGAGTTTAAACTGTTTCAAAGCCCCGAACCCGATCGACCTTCGGCAAACAACTCTTTATCCCTCGGGCGGAGAGCACTGGCTTTATTTGCTAGGGAACAGCAAATTGAGCGCGGGAACGGAAGAGCTGAAGGAAGATCCCTCTCGGCAGTCAGTTCTCCCGCCCGTCGGCTCCCCCTGGGACCGGGTCTGCTGCCCTTTCCCGCCCCCGGTCCGCAAGCCTCTTGCGTCAGCCTGGGCGGGGGTGGGGGATTTTCGGAGGCTGCCGGCGCGTCCAGCCCGGGAAGGGAGGCCCGAGCTCTTGCCCCGCCCTCGGAGGGCGGGAGGCGGAGCGGGGCAAGAGCCCGGTCGGCGGCTCCAGCCTGGTTGTCCAGCTACGAGTGCCGGAGAGCCGGGAGCAGCCGCCGCCAGTGCCGCCCTGTCCACGCTTCCGCAGCCGGGACAGGGCCGCCGTCGGGGAGCCCCAGCGCGCAATCCTAGCTCAACATGATGGACTTGGAGCTGCCGTCGCCGGGACAGCCGTCCCAGCAGGTGCTGTCCCGATCCTCGGGGACCCGCGGTGGCGCGGGGACGGTGGCATGGAGGGGAGGGGACCACGGCCGGGGAGGGACAACCGCTGCTTGCTTCGCCTCTCGTCAGTGGCCAAAGCCGGAACTGCAGCAGCGGAAAACTGGAGCCGCTGCGCTTGCGCCGGCACCGGGCAGGGAGGAGGAGCAGGGATCCTAGGGGCCGGGAGGGGAGTGGGGACAGAGTTGGGTGCCCTCGGCCCCAGAGGGGCCACAGTGAGGGTTCTTAAAGAGCTGGCCCTGCGGGCGAGAGATGGGGAACGCCCCTGGTCGCCAGAGCTGGGACGCGGAAGTCCTCGCCGGCTCCCGGGGCTTGAGGCCCTCTGAGGCGGCAGAGCAGGAGGGGGCGGACAGCCGCGGTCTGAGCCGGCGCGGCCCGGTTCTTCCGCGGCTGCGTTGCGCTGCTCCCCCGCCCCAGAGTCGGCAAAAATGTGCCTAGTCACGGGGCCGTTCGAGGTCTTTGCCGGGCTGCGACCCAGAGCCTTTCTCCGCCGCTGCGCCCGCCCCGGGTCTTACGACCTTCGCGGGCGCGGGCCACTGCGCGGCGTGCTCACCCTACTGGGCTGCCTGTGGGTGCTGCTTTGCAAAAATAATCGAGCTGTCAACCCAACAAGTCACCCTTTGGAGGCCTTGAGCACGAACGCCCAGCCCCGGGGCGAGGGAGGAGGTCACCGAGTGCTCATTGCGTGCGTCGCCCCGACGTGTGGCGGCTTGGCCAAGGGAGAGGTTGGGGCGCTTGAACCCGGGCCGCCCCCGGCAGCCCCTCACTGGAAGTGGAAGCGAGAGCTTCAGACCCTGAAGTCCGATCCCGCGGCGCTCTGGACTTTTTCGCTTCGGGCGTGGTGCCTCCCGGTGGCGCACGCCGCGTGCGAGGGCTCAGCCACCTCACCCTCTGTGACAGTGGCCGGTTGGCTGTCACGGCGTCCCTCGGTTGGCCCTTTCCTGCATTATAGCGTGCAAACCTCGCCGCGCCGGGGCCAAGGGACAAGTTGGAGCTGTTGATCTGTTGCGCAATTGTTATTTTCCCCAGAGCGGCTTTGTCTTTGGATTTAGCGTTTCAGAATTGCAGTCCAAAATGTGTAAGGCAGGATGTTCTGTTCTGTGCTGTCAAGGGTAAGAATCGCGAGTGTAGATTAGAATTTCGACTGCTTTTAGGCTGCTATTCAGTTCTTCACTTTCAGCTATTATTTCCCCTGGGTGCTTTATATTATTTTGCTTTTCTGTTTGAGAATTTGCCTCACTTTCTTAACACGTTGTCTTGCTTTTGCAAGGGCCGAGAGTGGGACACTTGTGTTTCATAATGCTTTGTACAGTTTTGCAAATTGTCATAAAAGTAAAAAGTTTCCATTCAAACTTTGTGGGAAATTTTTAAAGGAATATGCATGTTTATTTGCAGAGTTTTTTTTTTTTTTTGTAACTGGGTGTTTAGAAAGAAATATATATGGTCTAAGGAAATGTGTTACTTGATGTTGTTAAGTGCTGTCAAGTCGATTCCGACCTATAGCGATCCTGTATAGGGTTTCCAAGGAAATGTGTTACTTGATAGGTAATAGGAAATGTGCTTGTGTGTAAATGTGACATTTAAAACTGATCCTGAATATCTAATAGAAGTGTTTGAGTTATTGGCGATGTATTATTTATTATGCTGGGTTTTTTCTTTAAAGTTGCTTCTTAAACTTCCCCTAGCAATGACTGGGATTGTTTCCTCCTGGTTTCCACTAGTATGAAACAGTAAATTCCTCTGTTTAGTAATAATCTGTAGGAGCACTTCTTTGGCCAAAGGTTATATGAGCTAATGAGCTTTAATTTCTTCAGATTCAGGGATTGTAAGGCCCTCTCTTATTTAAAAAATTGTCTTCCTCTATGATGAACTTTAACGTAAGTGCATTAAGCACATTGTGCTGCTTTCTTTTAAAGGTGAATTTTCCTGTTATGTTTGATTAAATTACTTTTCTTTGTAATTAGGAATCCGTTTGCATATTTGAAAATATGCAAAGAAAATTAAACAAAATTATAAACTGAATTCATGTCTTTTTTTTTTTTTTTTTAATTCGTGTCATTTAACAATGTAATAAATGGAGTCCTGGTGTGGCGCTGTGGGCTAATGTGTCAGACTGCAAAGTCCTTTGAACTGCAAGGTCGGTAGTTCAAGCTCACCAGCTGTTCCTTGGAAACCCTATACAGGGTTGCTATGGGTCGGAATCGATTCCACGGCACTTAACAACAACTATATAATAAAGTCATACTGTCTGGTTAAGAAAGATTTCAACAGTGTGTTTTGTCCTTTTGCCAAAGAAATTTCAGGTGTGAAATGCTATTGGTCATACAGGTCTTTCACTCTCTCTGAAGGAGAAGGTGCTGATGAACAGGATTTAACGTATTCATTATGGGAAGGATCCATCCATTACTGTTTTCGAGAGTGGGGTGGAGAGTTGAAGTACTTTTGTAGCTGAGGGATGAAGTTGATGTTGGACGAGACTGATAAGATTATTTTTAAAAATCAAACACAGAAAAAGAAAATTGGCCTCTTACCTCCTGAATCAATGTTAAGCAAAGAACAACTTGACTTTCTTAGATATGTGAAAAATCTCTTGAGGGTGTAGGAGAATAAACACCCAAGTCACAAGTCTTTCTAAAGCGGTAAAAATGCCTTGGGCCATTTTGAAGTCTTTCTTGCTAATTTGAGTTCTTATAAACAGTGCTGGGAAAGAAATAAACTTGTCTTACTTTAGAATTACCAGGAAGATTTGAAAATCAAATACATTATTTTTCTTAGTATTTATTTTTATTCAAGATAAGTTATACTTACAAAGCTGTGTGAGTAAAGGACATAAGTACATACATCCCCACCCCTGGAATTTCCTCTGTCCTGAAGAAACACATTTAAAGAAGGTTTGCAAAAATAATCTTCAATTTCTCCTTGAGCCAGGGTTAACATTTCAATTTGGACGCTTGTGTGCAAAAAGAATTGGGGAATAAGATGATACTAGGTAAGTTATTAAGCACTTCCCTGCATACCAGGCAAAATGGTAACTGCTTCACATTGATAAGTTCATAGTTGCCCCATGGAAATACTATTATCTCAGATTTTCAGGTGAGTAAAGAGACATTAAGAGAGAGGCCAAGAGTCCTGCTTGAAGTGACTCAGCTATTAAATGGCAGAGGTAGGATTTAGACATAGATAGTCTTATCTCTGGTGACTTGTAATCATCACTTCCGAATTGGACCATGACTTGTGGTTACAAAAGCCAAAAACCTAACCCATTACCACCAAGTTGATTCCAACTTATAGTGACCCTACATAGGACAGAATAGAACTGCTTTTTAGGGTTTCTGAGATAATATATGCTTACCGAAGCAGACAGCTTCATCTTTCTCTCCTGTGTAGCAACTTGTAGATTTGAATCTCTGATCTTGTGGTTAGCAACCCAATGCTTAATCCTTTGTATCACCAGGGCTTCCCTTTTCTTAGGACCTTATTGTTATTAAGTAAGTGCCTTTGAGGCTGTTCTGATGCATGGAGACCCTGTATAGCGTTTCCAAGAAGTAACTGGTAGGTTTGAACCTCCAACCTTGTGGTTAACAGTCCGCTGCTTATCCTATAGTGCCACACCAGGAATCTTTCATAGAGGCCTAAATGGGTTTAATTTAGAGAGGCAGAACTACTTCTTAATATAATAATAGTTTTAAATTTTCTGGAGTTTCAGCAGTGTTTGTAATTCTGAATCACATTTTTCAGAATCCAGTTTTCTTTCTTTTAATTAAATCTCCTCGTTATCTTTGTTTGCCTTGTTAGTTGGTACATTTTTCTGCCCTGTTGGCTCTTTATTTTGAAGTAATGATCTAAGATAAGTTTGTTGTTGTTGTTGTTAAGTACTATTGAGTTGGTTCTGACTCATAGGGACCCTGATAGGGTTTCCAAGGAGCAGCTGGTGAGTTTGAACTGCTAAAACCTTGTGGTTCAAACTGACCTTATGGTCAAGCACTTATCCTGTAGCAAGCAGCATACCAGGATATGTTTGGTAGTGAGGATATGGCAAAGAGCGGGACAAATTAAAACCAAACTATAGAGTTGATTCCAACTCACAACAACCTTATGTGTTATAGATTATAATTGCTCCATAGGGTTTTCTTGATTGTAATCCTTAAGGAATGAATTCCTGGGTAGTGCAAACAGTTAAGCATTTGACTATTAGCTGAAAGGTTAGCAGTTTGAATCCATCCAAGGCACCTCAGAAGAAAGGTGGCAATCTGCTTCCAAAAAGTCAGAGCTTTGAAAACCCTGGGAAGCAGCTGTACTCTGTTCACATGGATTCTAATCAGCATGAAATAGAATCAGTAGCAATTAGCAGCAACAGTCTTTACTAAAGCAGGTGACCAGACCCTTCCATTTGGGCACCACTGGGTGGGCTCCCACAACCTGTCTTTAGATTATTAGTTGAGCACAAACAGGGTTAAACCAGGTTGAATGAAAGTGGGTGGAATGGGATGAATTTTAGTTGAATACAGCTAGCAGAAACCTGTTGGCTCAAATTAAACACTAATCCCTTGTTTTGGCACTTCTGAATTGAAGCAAATATAAGGGCTCAAGTCTATCTAATTGAAGCTTACTTGGGGCTTTGAAAATAGTACATTTCAAAATTAAGTACTTTATTTCTTAGTCCTATCATTAAACAAGTTGTATTTGGAATCATTGTTTTATTTGAGTTAAGTATCCTGCAGAACTATTAGGAACTAGTGGATGAGTTGTCTATAAATTGGTCTCGGTAAGTCCAGGGTATGTATTGAAACAAATGCCTGGCCCAGTCATTTCTGAAAGTTTCTTGGTTTCTGTTGCACACCAGGGTGTGGGAGAATACAAATGTACTAAATTCAGTATTTAACTTGCTTCATTTCATCTATGGCTCTATAAATGTATGCTTAAGTTTACCATAATATGGGGAGTGGGGTTTATATTTTTATTATCTGATATCTAGGAGTTAAGAAAATTTCATTGCCAACTGCTTTTAACAAAAGCTCCAGCAAACACTTATTAAAAGGACTTTATAGTATAAACTATGACTTCTTCGCTTGACGTGGTCTACAAATTAAAGCAAAAATAAGTTCAGGAATATCCACTTTATATTCCCATTCAGTATTGGGAGTACATGGATGGTGTCCCTACATTAATTTCCCTCCCCACAAAACAAAATAGAAGACTTATTATAAGACTGCTAAAAGTGGTACCCCATCTAAAGTTAAAGTTTTCTACAGGTCAGTCATTGTTGCAGTAACTATTATGTTAAGAATATTAGGAACTCTAATAGGGAAAGGCAAGGAGCTCTGGGTAGCATAGTGGTTACGAGTTGGGCTGCTAACCTCAAGATAAGCTGTTAGAAACTACCAGCTGTTTCGTGGGAGAAAGATGAGGCTTTCTGCTCCCATAAAGACTTACAGCCTCGGAAACCCTGTAACTCCATGGCTCACAATCACTACCTCCACCAAAAGTGGGAAGCACTTCTTCCTAACTTTTTATGGCGTTGTACTATAATATGTGTGCTTTGAAGTCTGATATTTCCAAGTGTGTGTGTGTTCTATCTGTGTACATGTAGGTTTATTTGGCTGAAACTCTGGTACTAGTAAATGCAAATCCAGGATGTAAGAAGGAGTTAGGACACCGAGTCCACCTTTCAAAAGCCCTCTTGATAACTGATTCTTCTGAGTCACTATACTCCATCAACAACCTATAATCTGGAGATTTAAAAAAAAAAAAAAATTCCTTGGCAATTCCGGGCAGTCCTTTCTTTTTCACAACGTTGGAAATTGAGACTTTATCGCAATAATATTGGTCATGCAATGATGAGATCTGAACTTTCCGTTGCTTTTTCAAATTGGAGAAGAAAAAATGACTGGGTGAAAAAGAAAAATACCAAATCACTTTAGTCTTGATGTCTCCTTCTGAGCTTTCAGCTTTTCTATTTTGTATTTTTTAGGTCAATCTCCTTAATTGCTTTTTAAACTCTTTATTGATACTTATCAGTATTAGAGCATCACCCCAGAAAGAAACTTCATGTCCATTAACAATTAACCCCTACCCTCAATCCTCTTACTGTAAATGCTGCGGAGTCAGTTTC